AACAGCTCTTAATCCGTGCTTGGAGCAGGCTCCGGGCGGCCGTAATGACGGTAATTACCAGGAAGCATTAGTGAACCCTGGGCTCGAGAAAATGAAGCAGGGCGTGTTGGAGCCGCTGTTTGATGTTCTGCCCTTATCTCCCGCGTTTGCCACGCAAGAGCTTGTGAACCGGCAGCTGATCCCGGCGTACGGGAAGGGAAGGAGGAGCGGGTGGGCAAGGGGAGATGATGGATGCTCGGGGTGTTCCCGCCGCATCCCGAGCGTGCAGGGAGCAGCACAGGGACATGGCAGGTCCTGGGGGGCTGCCGGGCTCCAGGAGCCCCCGGAGGCTTCGCACAGCCCTTTTCCCGGGAATCCGAGCCCCTGCGGTGCCATGTCCGGCCTCAGTGCCGGAAGGCAAAGCCCAGGGAGCAGGGGAGGCTGCAGCGGTGCCCAGGACGTCCCCAGCACCCAGGCTGCAGCAGAGCCCCTTGCTGCAGAGCGCTGTGCAAGGGGCAATGTGTGCAATACGTTTTTGCAAGCAGCAGGATGCACCCGCGGGCACCATCACACCACAGAAAGGCTCTGAATACCCAGCTCGACTACCCTGGAGAAGGACCAGGCTCTTCCCGCTACCCGACGGCTGCGAGAGCCCGTGGGGCCGGGGCACCTTGGCTGGCAGCCGGCCTGCCCTCTGCTTGCTTAGTGCAGTGGGGTTGATTCTGAGCACAGAACAAGGAATTCTATATGTATATCTAAGTCTTCTACTTCATTTGGGAAGATAAACACCATTGACTTTCCATTAAGCTATTCATACTCCTAAGGGAAATTTTACCTTATATCCCTTGAGGTTTTTTTCTTTTGGGTGGCAGCAATGGTGCTATATATAGGTACTCCTAGTTGAACATAACTGTTTCCTTCTCCAGGGTGATACAGAAGTGTTTACAGGAAACTGCGTCCTGCCTGTGCTCAAGGATGTTAGCCCGGAGTCCAGTCACTTTCAGAGAACGAGTTTGCCGCTCCAAGGAGTTACTCATACAGGTGCTTGTGAGATTACAGACAACTAGGAAATAGCATTAAAAAGAAAAGTGCATTTCCAGGTAAATGAGTCATTGCAGAAACATTTCTGTTGACCGTGTTGTACTGGAGATGTTTGCTTGCACAGAAGAAATGCGTCGCTTGTGAAATTTCCCGAGCTGTGAGTTTCCTGATGTGAGGAAGCGCCTGCGGCTGCTGGAGCTCAGCAGCAGTGACCGAGAGCTGCTCCTTGGGGCACCAGCTCCAAACCTGCCCCAAAGTGTCTTAACCTGCTCCGAGCTGCCTGGGCTGTGAGACGGCTGCAAGTTAGTGCCATTGCGGTGTGTGGATGTTCTTGGTGGTTAAAACGGGAATTCGGGAAGAGTTCTGTACCCCTAAAAGGCAGGCGGAGGGAAAAACAAATCCAGTTATGCCACTGAGTGCAGGCAGTCCCCAGTCCTGAAGTGCCTGCTCCGTTCGCTGTCTCCTGCATCCCGGTGTCCCTTGGAGCACCCGTGACGTTAGTTAAGGCATTCTGAGCACAAGCACAGCCCCGTTTGGGCTCCTCTTTCTTCTTGAAGAAGAATAAAATACAAAAACCTCAGAAATCTGCTCCCATTTCTCGAGGTTTGGCCGTAAGGAGACCAGGGTCCCTGCTGGATGATTCTGGGATGGTTTGTGGCGTGAAAAAACTAAAAAAAAAAAAAAAAAATAGAAAAGCTAAAACTAATGACCAGTCTGTCATAAGAGCTGTATGCTTAAAATAACTTGTACCACATACAACAGGTATATCTACCACATACAAAAGGTGTATCTACCGTACACAAAAGGTATATCTACCATGTACATAAGGTATATCTACTATGTACATAAGGTATAGCTACCATGTACATAAGGTATAGCTACCATGTACATATGGTATGCCTCGAGGTTTATGTCTGCGTCCTCCTCCTTATGCAGCTCTGCGTTTGGAGTGACTCAGTTTCCTTGTAACAAGACAAGGCAAGTGGATAGCATTAAACGTGAACTGGTGGTGCCACAAAAACGCCTTCAACCTGTAAGAATTAAACATCAGTGAATTAAACATTAGTGAATTAAACACTGCTCCTCTCGCATTGCTCCCCTCTCTCCCAAGCTTCGGAGTGATGTGTTGTCCCCTCGGGTGCTGTCTTGGAGGGACACGGGCACACAAGGGCTTTGTCCTCCCTCCGAGGGAAAGGTGAACTCTTGAGTTACCCAATTCTGGTGAGTACCCTGGCAGAGAGATAAGGCACTTTGCATATGCTGCTTATCAATGGGAGCGGGGAATGAGGAAAGAAGAAGAACACGCACATTGCTGTGACTTGCTGTGAAGAAA